AGAGAGGAAGAAAGCAGACAAAATAATCCTGGCGACCTTCTTGCAATCAACTGCTAAGCTTGTCTAGTTATAAAGATCAACTTGATTATATTTCAATTGGGTCCTTCTAACCTCGAGTAATGAGACAGAGGAAGCCGCAAGGTCGAATGTGGCTAAAAATAAAGAGAGATTATCGACCTTATAGGAGACAGGTAGGATCTTTTTCCCTTTCTCTCGGTGTGTTTTCCTTGTACTCTTTTGTTTGCTTGTATTTATCTGTTTGTTTATGTTGTGTCTTTCATTGCATTTGGTTTGTATTAGTTTTTGGTTTTCTTTAGCTCCCTTTTGTGTCCAAGTAGTCTTTTAGTTGTAGTCTGCTCTCCCTCCCCCGCCCCCTCACTCTCTTGTCTATCTCTATCTCCGCTCTTTCTCTCTCTCTCTCTCTCTCTTCTCTCCCCATACTCTCCTCTCTCAGTCTTCTCTCCTCTCTCTCCTTCGCTCTCTCTCCCTCTCTCTTCTCCTGTTCTTTCTATCCCGTCCCTCTTCCTCGTTCCCTCCTCTCACGTTTTTTCTTTCTCTTTTCTCTTTCTCCCTCTCTCCTCCCTCCCTACCCCTCCCTCGCTCTTCCTCCCAACATCCCTCCTCCGTCGCCTTCGCCTTCTCCAGTGCCCTCTCCTCTCTCTCGCTCGGTTCTTTCTTTCTCTTTCTCCTCTAACATTCTTTTCCTCTCTCCCTCTATTTGCGCTCTACCCCCCACTCTTCGTTTCTGCCTACCCCTAACCTCCCCTGTCCCTCCCCTCCCTTTCTAATTTGTCTAAATTCAGAATCTATTCACACAACACCCTCAATGTCCTTTAGATAAGAACCCCATTTAATTTTTGTCATTAACCCTCATTTGTTGTGTGCGATCACCATCTTTCAACTTTTTGGTCTTTATAATTAGCATCATCATCATTATCTTTTACTAGTGATTGAGGAATAGGGTGGGGGTGGGGTGGGGGAGGGTTTAAGGAGGGAGGGAGGGAGGGAGGGAGGGAGAAGGTAGGGGTGAGGAAGAGGAGGATATAGAGGGGGATGAAAAGAGGAGGAGGAGTCAAAAAGGAGGGAGGAGGAAGGAGGAAAGAGGGAAAAAGCAGTGAAGGAATGAAAGAAACAGGAGAGGGGGGAGGGTACAAAGAAACAGGTACAGAGGGAAGAAAGAAAGGGAAAGGGAAAGAGAAGATATTATAGAAGCTAACGAAGGAAGTGAAGCAGGGTAGAGAGGCGACAGGGAGATAAAAGCAGGAGAAAGAGCAAGGAAGAAAGTGGAAATAGAGATAGGGAAGAATACATGGTGAATAAAAAATAATAAGAGGAGGAACAACAACAAAAAAAAAAAAAGAGAACAACAGAAAAGATACAGGGGGAGAAGAGTAGGACAAGAAGCAAGAGGGAGATAACACTTGCCAAAGAAGGAGGGGAAGCGAATGGGGGAGAAGGAGAGGGGGGAGAAGAGAGCGAGAGAGTGGGATCAACAGGTCGCTAATTGGAGCAACAATTCCCTTTCGTCTTTCTCTTTCTTTATCATTTATCAAAAGAGAAAGGTTAAAGAAGGGACGGGAAAAAATGATAAAAGGAAAAAGGAGAAGAAGAAGAAAGGAAAAAAAGAGACAGAGGATGGTAAGAAGAGAAATGGGAGGCAACTGATGATGGAGGAGTAGGGAAAGAGAATATAAGAAAGAGGAAGAGAGCGAAGAGAAGACCTAACGAAGCAAAACATGAAAGGCAGAAAACAAGGAAAAATATAGTAAAGCTAAAGGAGAAAGAGAGAGAGAGAGAGGAGAGAGAGAGAGAGAAGAGAGAGAGAGAGAGAGAGAGAGAGAGAGAGAGAGAGAGAGAGAGAGAGAGAGAGAGAGAGAGAGAGAGAGAGAGAGAGAGAGAGAGAGAGAGAGAGAGAAGAGAGTAGAAGAGAGAGAGAGAGAGAGAGAGAGAGAGAGAGAGAGAGAGTGAGGGAATGAAAGAAAGTGGAGAGAACGCGAACAAGCGAAAGCGAGAGAGAGAGAAGGGAGAAAGAGAGAGAATGAGAGAGAGAGAAATGAGAGAGAGAGAGAGAGAGAGAGAGAGAGAGAGAAGAGAGAGAGAGAGAGAGAGAGAGAGAGAGAGAGAGAGAGAGAGAGAGAGAGAGAGAGAGAGAGAAAGAGAGAGAGGAAAGAGAGAGAGAGAGAGAGAGAGAGAGAGAGAGAGAGAGAGAGAGAGAGAGAGAGAGAGAGAGAGAGAGAGAGAGAGAGAGAGAGAGAGAGAGAGGAGAGAGCGAGAGAGAGGAGAGAGAGAGAGAGAGAGAGAGAGAGAGAGAGAGAGAGAGAGAGAGAGAGAGAGAGAGAGAGAGAGAGAGACAGAGAGAGTGAGTGAATGAAAGAAAGTGGGGGCGAGAAACGGCGAACAAGCGAAAAGCGAGAGAGACAGAGGGAGAAAGAGAGAGAATGAGAGAGAGAGATGAGAGAAGAGAGAGAGAGAGAGAGAGAGAGAGAGAGAGAGAGAGAGAGAGAGAGAGAGAGAGAGAGAAGGAGAGAGAGAGAGAGAGAGAGAGAAAGGAAAGAGAGGAAAGAGAGAGAGAGAGAGAGAGAGAGAGAGAGAGAGAGAGAGAGAGAGAGAGAGAGAGAGAGAGAGAGAGAGACGAGAGAGAGAGAGAGAGAGAGAGAAGCGAGAGAGAGAGAGAGAGAGAGAGAGAGAGAGAGACGAGAGAGAGGAGAGAGAGAGAGAGAGAGAGTGAGTGAGAACGACCATGGACCAAAGGCGATTAAGCAAAAAGAACGACGAAATAGACCTCTCTCTCTCTCTCTCCTCCTTCGCCCCCTCTCCCTATCGCCCCCCATCACCCCACCTTCCCACCCCTCTTTTTATCCAAGTAGGAGACCACGAGACGCGAAAAAGCCCTCTTCACTCTCATAATAAAGATCTAACCGACAACTCATCCCCTTCCCCCCCCCTGTCTACGCCCTCCCCCCCTCGTTTATTCCACACTCCTCTCTTCCCATCCCTCCCCTCCCTCCCTCCACTCCTCCTTTCACCTTCCTCACCCACACTCTTTCCTCCCCCCATCCATTCCAACCTTCTATTCCAACCTCCTCCCTTCCTCCTCTCCATCAACCCCCCCCCCCCCACCGTCCATTTCACTCTCCTCTCTTCTCTCACCCTCCCTCACACTCCATTAGGTTAATCTTGGTCTTTCTGGAATGCCCCTTACACCCCACCACCTCCTCTCCCTCTCTCACCCCCCCTCCCTCCTTCCCTTCATTCCTCCCTCCCTTCTTCCCTCATCCCTCCCTCCCCTCCTTCCTCTCACCCCAAACCATTGAGATTCCCTTTCCCCTAAAGCCCTCCCTCCTTCCCCACACCCCCTCCCTTCCCTCTTTCC